TTGTAGTGAAAAAAAGTTGTTGAAGGCTGGGCTGTTTGTGTTTAAATTCAGAGGAATCTAATTAGGAGCCGGCTCTGTTCTCATAAACCACTGTGCTGAGACCTTTTTGAATAGCTTTGAAAAATGAAAGCATGTTGCTTACTGCTATTAGGAAATCTTTTTCTTTTAAATAAATAAAAGGCCAAATAATTCTTTGATCTCCCTAACAACATGGTATGGTTTGAGGCAGTGAGCTTAACGTCTATTAGATTTGTCTTTGGTTCTTCTGTTCTTGGTAATTGTCTGTGTTCCAGAACCGAGAATAAGATTTTAACCTCGTGACTCTGGCTGATGTCAGTGGGGCCAGAGTTTCTAAACCACTCCCACACACCACTAAAACTGTGGCTGCAAACAGTCTGGGACAACTTGGTAACAGGCTGAGTGTTTTTCAAGTAGGTACTTGAGTATGTTAGGCAGACATCCACACAAATTACTTATCACTGAGACTCGTGACCCTGTTACAGAGCATATTAAAATTTCAACTGGGTTAGAGGTTTGGGGACCTGTCTCAGCTAACTAAGAAAGTGAATTTGTATGAAAAGTTGTTTTTTAGAAGTACATTTTATCATCATATCTGCATGGGTTGATTCATCAGTTGGAGATGTCTTTTAAGTCTCAAATACTGGCCTGAGAACTTACATATTACTGAAGTCTGTTTCAAAGTGATGGTACCACTTCCTCAGAAATCACCTTTGTTTAATTCTTTGGTGTTAGAACTGACTGGGGAGAAAGGCACAGACAGAATGTACTTCGGAGACAGGACATGCGTGTCCCAATGTACTGACGGGTCTCTTCTAGATCAAAATTAGTGGCAGGTTCTCGGGCAAATCCCACCTCCTCTGTTGCCCATAGATGCCAAAAACATTATTGATTTTCGTGAAAAAGAAGAAAATGCACTTTTGTAACTGGAATAGAAGATAAGAGAGGCTGATTGAAAAATTGTTTTTAATTTATCACAACTATGATTGACTTTTTTAAAGGATAAGGGGATGTTTATAAGGAAATCCAAGGAACTTGGAGGATATTAGGATATGATACACTGGGGTTTTGGTTTTTAAATACTAGTGGGAAGTAGTACATGGATAATGTAACAACACCTATGTACTCACCACTCAACATGAAAAAGTAGTAAAATTTGTTATATGGCTTCAGATTATTTTTCAGTCTTGAAGAAATAAACATTACAGTTGAATCCCCGTCTTTCCCTGCCTAATTCTCTTCCTCCCTCCCCAAGGACAAGCACTGTCATTTACCGGGGTGCCTGCCATGCAGATGCCTGGGAGCACGGAGCCCCTCTGTGTATGTAGTCTGTATTTTGTAATTTTATCTCCCACGTAAATGTTTAATTTTTTTGTTTTGAGTTTACATAAATGGTACCTTACCTCATTCTGTAATTTTCTTTATTCTCCTCAACATTAAATCTGGGGGATCCAGTGTATTGCAAATGATCAATCTAGACCATGGACTTCTAACTCTTAAATGGTGTTCCATTTTATGAATATATCAAATCTGTCCCACTACTAAGTCATTTGGGTCATTTCCAGTGTCTCTCTCTATTGTAAGCAGGGCTGCAGGGAACATCCCTGTACACCAAGGGAATTGCTGAGTCATAAAGCGGGCACCTTGTCAACTTAACTATATGTTGCCAAATTACTGTCCAACATGAAGGTACCAGCTTCTAGATCCCTCAGCAGATGCTGAGAGTTCCCGCATCTCCGTTTCTTCACCAGTACCTAGAATTGGCAGACTTTTATTTTATCCAGCCTGGTTGGACACGAAATGGTATTTCTCTGTTGTTCTAGTTTGCATTTCTCTGATTTCTAGAGAGATCAGGCACCGTTTTGTGTTGTGAATGACCTGTTCGTGGTCTGTACAACTTTTCTGTTGCATTGTCTTTTTCTTGTTGTTTTACAGTGAGTCTTAAACACTTTCAAGACTCTGCAATTGTGTGTGGCAGTACATTTAATACCATTTCAAAATGTGTCCGTGATATGGATTCATTAGTTTTCCTCATATGCCTTTATCTTCCACGTTTTAAAGTGTATTTTATTAAGTAGAAGGGAGCCAACGAGAGGTTCTCTTAAGCAAGACTCTGAGAGGGGAGAAGGAGGAATGGGATTAAACAAGAGGTATTTGAAACACTTTAGCTGAGCAGGGATTTGTGAAAGACAGAGGAAAGGTGGCAAGGGGAGCCTGAAAGAGAGGATGGGTCACCTAGGCCCTTGGAACAGAGGGGCTCCGTGCTCCCAGGCATCTGCATGGCAGGCACCCCGAGTAAAGATAGTGTGCAGATGGGGGAATGCATCTGTCTTACTAGAAAATGACTGTAGGAATTTGTCTCGGCTACTGGGTGGTGTTTCTTGCTGTGGGTCCAGCAGCTTGGAGCTCACCCACCCACCTCTCCCACTCTTCAGACATCTAGTGCTTTTTACTGTGGGCCAGGAACTGGGGATAGGGATATAAAAATTGTACGAGACAAAGTGAGACTCCCTCAAGGAGTTTTCTGTCCGGTGGAACAGAGTGGCCAGTCCAGTACCGTGACGGAAGCAGGCGTGGAATTCCAGAAGTGCCGAGGTGGGGAATCTTTTCTTCCCTGGGTGAGCCAGGACTTCATCGAGGTGAGTCCTACCGACCCAGTCAGGGGAAGGGATACAAGCACAAAAGACCGTTTGCTCAGGGCTCACAGGCATGACCACACATGGTGAGGTGCTGGAAGCCAAGTAAGAAATTTGGGCTTTATCCTAAAGATGACCGGGAGCTATTGAAGAGTTTCTGGAAGGTGAGAGGCAAAAAAATGTTAAATACAAACCAATAAAGACATATGGTCCAGCCTACCTATTGGCTCTTTGGCCCTTCCTAGAAGACTGTTGGCTGGAGAGGCTTCGCTGGGGTCTGCATCCTGGAGTAGGCGTTACGTGGCATGACACAGAAGGCCTAGCCATGCTGACCTCTCAGGAGTTACACGGATTCCTGTTTGTGGTTCTGCTTTTTCTCTCAGTAGTAAAACAGTGACTTCTTTATCAAAGCTGATCCTTATTTTCAAGTCACAGAGAACTGGACAAATTAATGAGAGCCAGTGGTTTCCGGTTCTTTAGAGAAACATCCTCAAAATGTTTACATTTACGTTTACTGATTAGAATGAGTCACTCCCGAGGGGTCTCTTTCTGTGAAGGCCTCCTTATGCCCAGACAGGGACATTGCTGAGAAACCCCAGCATTCCTGTTCAGTGGTACATAACCTCTCTCTCACTGCCAACTTCTAGAGCAGCTCACGACTTACGTGGAGCTGACCATAGGCGGTAGAAATGACAAGGAGCATGGCCTCCAAGTCACTCCCTTGCCATCTGCTCTTGGAGAAGAACTCGGGCAGGGCAGGAACAGAGTTTGGACGGAATTAAAACCTTCCAGGTTTTTCCTCTTGATGCCGACGTGAGCCTTTCCTAGCAGAGCCTCACCTCATCCTGCCGTTGGTAAAGGAACTTAGATGTCTCTTCCGGTTTGTTAAAGGTGACCAGACAGTGACTGTCACGGGGGTGCAGCCAGAAGAGGTTGGCTGGCTGGGGGCAGAAGCAGGCCTAGGAGTGAAAGTCCCCGAACCAAGCCTCATCCCACCCCCAGGACTGCAGACTGGTTCCGACGGTGGGCCATCCTGTTGACAAAAGCAGACGTGCTCCTCATAGCCTCCTGGGTGCTGGTGGCCTCTGTCCAGACTCCTCCAGTTGAGGCCCTTCCCTGACCGTAACCTACGGAGTGGCTGGAGCTACCCGAGTGATAATTCAGATGACGCAGAAGTTGAAATCTTTGGCTGCATGAACCTGGTGGGACGGTCCATGGGATTTACTTTGGAAAATTATCCCTTTCTTAAGAGGTGTGAAGAGTCTTACGGAATCACAAACTGAAGGAACTTGGCGGCGGGGAGTGTGGACCCACCTCTCATTTACTAGGTGGGGAAACCGAGGCCCTAAGGAAAGACTTGCATGGGTCAGACTAACTAGCAGAGCCAGGACTGAAATCAGATGTGATTGCACAGTGGCTCTTCCTGTGCTCCCGCTAGTGTTAATAAGTTGGCATCTCACATTTTATAATCAATGTTGTATCAGGGCACTTGGCCTTTGATAAAAAAGACCTAGTTAGGGTGTAAGCTAGACATTTGAATAGGAGCCACGAGCCAGGCACTGTGCTAGAGAGACGTAAAGATTCAGCAGGAGATGCAGCACTCTGTGGAGGAGAAAACCGTAAGACCATCACAGCACCGCGTGGCAGGCAGTGCTAGGGGTCCGGGAACCGAGTAGGCGTTGCAGGAGCAGCTGTTGAGGAAGGGCCTGTGGGAATGGGCCTCTGGCACCTGGGGTTCTGGCAGCCTCCATTCTAGTGCCCTGTCCTCGCCATCGTCGCTCCCCTCTCCCCACATCCACACGTGTGCACCAGGAGAGCGTCTCGGCCCACAGTGAGTGAGTTGACGCGGGCAGGACCTGTGGTGCTGCCTGTTGAATGGTGTCTGGTTGATTTTCTCAGGGAGCCTTCCCCTGGAGAGGCTCTCGTCACTGGGTGTCCCCACAGACCGATCTTTTATTTGCTTCTGCTTCCCCTCTGGCCTCCTGGCGCAGTTCTGTTTTATGACTTCATAGCAGCAGTAAGAGCTGACAGCAGCCCTTCTGAGGCCCAGAGGGCTGGGTTTTTACATCAGTGGCTTTGGAGCCAAGGGTTGAGGTTCATGTCCTTGGCAGATGTGGTCTCCCCTCCGTCTTTCAGGAAGTCTCCCACTTTATCCTGAGTCAGGATTCCCAGATGTGCCTGGGTTGGTTCTGATGACCTTTCTTTTGTGTCTCCTGACTCCGGCTGGGTGGCAGAAAGCTCAGGGTGGTTAAGATCCCAAGCAGAAGGACATAAACAGGTGTCTTTTGACACAGCCATACAGATTTCCCAAGTCCTGGTAAGGGGCTCTATTGCTGGATTTGTTTGTGACTTCAACTTCACATGTTGACAGCAGACACTTTTACTTTCCGTTTTGCTTGGTAGCCTCTCAGCTTCCTGCCTGAGAAGCTCCAGACTTCTCGTTTCCGTTAATCAGAAATCACATCTGCTCTCATTTCTCCTCCTCCCCATGACATCACACGCCTGCTTTCTGGAAGGGGACTGCAGTCTGTAATCCCAGTTAGAGCCACATTCTGACATGCGAGTGACTTCACTCAGGAATCCGCAGGCTGCAGTGGCTGCAGGAAGTCCGAGTCCAAGATCTCTTAGCTGGGTTGAAGTCACCTTGGGCTTTGCTTGCTTTTCAGGTTGCAGTGCTTTTGTCCACAAAGGCTGTAGAGAAAGTCTGGCCTCCTGTGCAAAGGTCAAAATGAAGGTAAGACATTTCTCAGGGTGGGGAGAGTCCTGATTGGGGTTTTTGTTTATGGTAATCATTTGGTACCAACACTGAGACCAAAACAACCAAACAGTAATTCTTCTCTAAAGCGACCGAGTCTCTTCTTAATTAACACACTTGGGCATCTGTGGCTTTTGGAAAACAAAATGCTTTCAGAACTCCGTGTTAAATACACACTTCTCTGCTTTTCTAGCATCTCGGTGGTGGTGTTAAGGTGGTTTTGTTCAGAGCCACATCTGCAGGCCTGCTCTGCCGGCCACACACCAGCTTTCTCCCGGCCATCCCGAGGGCACCAGGTGTCATTCAGGGACTTTGAGCTGCTGGGGAGCTGGGGAGGGCTGAGGGTTTGACGTGGCTGCCCGGCGGCGTTCGTGTCCACGGGGCATGAAGCAGTTGGCTCTGGTCACGTGACGCAAGAATAGGACACGTGCCGGGCGTGTGGAGGGACCTGCTCTGGGCATGCATGCTGTGCAGTAATGGGCACCGCTTATCAGGCGGCCCTTAAAGAGAGTGGGTTTGGGGACCCACCTTCAAGATAGCCTCCGTGGTTTTCAGTGTTCTAGTCACCCATAAATAAATGTCCTTTTGTCCTTGTCAGAAGAGCACTCTCAGCTGCATCTACACTATGCTCAGCATGCCGTGTGCTGCATCAGTGAGCAAACATTTACATTACAGCGGCCTCATACTTGAATGAGTGTGCTTTAGAGTCACCTCAGGGACTTGCTAAAAGACCATTTACTGCACCCCTCTCCCCGAGTTGCGCACTCTGGGATGGGGCCCAGGACTTTGCATTTCTAGTAAGTTCCCAGATGACGCAGATGCTGCGAGTCTGCACTAGTGTAAAAATGAATCACTTCTGTACCCCAGATCTTAGCAGCCCATGGGCATAAATTTTGTTTGGCTCTTGAAGTATTTTTTGTTGTTGATGATGCAGTTATTTTTAAAAATCACATTTCCTATCAATAGGGATTTCTAATTTCTCCTAAAAAAATTGGAAGATCTCAAAAAAAAAAAAAAAAGAAAAAGAAAATTGGAAGATCTCACAACCCTGGTTACTTCCTCTTACCCAGCATTCCCGATTTTCACCTTGCCCTTTTTCCTGTTCTCCATAGTACTTCTCAGCTTCTCAGAGTTTCTATTTAACAGCCTGTATTTACTTACTACATTTATTTTGCGTGGTCTTGCACCTTCCCCCCCCACTAGCATGTAAGCACCTAACTTGCCAAGCAGTCTGAAGTCAGGAATGTTTGATCCGCTGATAGATCCTAAGCATACAGCATGGACTCTGGAGATCTAGGTCCCTTAATGTTGGGGAGATGGATGGGAAGTGGTAATCCATGGGGTCTGAGTGGCTGCCGCCTCCTCGACAGGATGTGCGGGTTCCCTCCCCACCACCCCCCCACCTTGCCTCCTTCGCTTGTTGCCTGCCTGACCCTGCAGGCACGGGGTTTGTGATCTGACAGGACTTAGTGCTATTGGGAATGTACTAGGTTCTGTAGAAGGCTGATGATAGAGCTGTAGCATCTCCTCTTATAGGAGAACACAGCCTAAAAGGGGGAGTTCATTTTAAAATTGTGTCCACTAATGATTTATCTCCGAGTAATTGGTTCACTCCGTAACTTCTCACACACGGTGTTTCTGTCACATGCTACAACAAAAATCTCAACTGAAATTCGTACTTTACTTAAGGACTGTTTAGTCTCTTATTAACGCCAGTCACTGGACAAACAGGAATGAAAAAAGGCACAGATGCCGCTCTTCAGGACCCTGCATTCTGCTGGGGAAGATGTCAGGCAGTTGGGGACCGTACATGAGGGGGAAACTATGTGGAGGTCTGTGCAGGATTCTCAGGGGCGGCCAGGCACTGCCTTGGGGGAGGAGGAAGAAGGTGATGGTTGGCTTTCCCCAGGAGGTGGCTCTCACGTGGTCTTGAAATAGAGGGATACCCTGGGGCGAAGGGCGTTCCAGGTGGGAGAAGCAGCCTCTGCGGGGTCCTGGCGCTCGGCGGGTTCAGAGGAGAGCCCACAGGGGTGGCTGGCGGAATGCTGAGCAACCTGGCCAGGAGGCGGGCTGGAGCTCTCTCCCTGCTCTGGGCTTCTTGAGACCGTACAGAGGAGAAATTGTGGGCGCGGTCCGCGTGTATTTATTTATTCCCTTTTTCCTTCAGCAGCCCAGAGGGAGCCTTCAGGCACAGGACACATCTTCGCTGCCCACAGTCATCATGAGGAGCAAGCGTAAGTCACTCAGCCCTGCTCTCTTCCAGCCCTTTTTGACTCTGGTTCAGGACTTAAACACACTTCTGTAATATTCATCTGTTATTCTTACTCAAGATTTGAGTGTTTATTTTGTGGTAAGTTAGAGGAGGCTGCAGGTGATTGGCCAAAGCCTAACGTTCTACCATCAAACTCCCTTGGAAGGCTTCTAGAATAGTGTGTGTACTGGCTTGAGAGGCAGCCCTGTTGTCTGTCTGTTTAAGCAGGTGATCCCATGCATCTCGAAATTCCTCTTCCATGGGTTGACAGTTACGCTTGTTTTTAGCACCTCACGGTTGCACAAAGGAAATGAGATCTTTTTGATTAAACTTCTTAGTTTAGGGGCACCTCAGTGGCTCAGTCGGTTGAGCGTTTGCCTTTGGCTCAGGTCATGATCTCAGGGTCCTGGGATCGAGCCCCGTATCAGGTTCTCTGCTCAATCAGAGAGTCTGCTTCTCCCTCTGCTCCTCGCCCCTGCGTGCCTGAGTGGAGTAGGGATTGGTTTCAAATGAATAAATAAAACCTTTTTTAAAAAACTTCTTAGTTTATAAACTGTGAAGTAAATAATTCTCTTTTTTCCCCAAGGACTTCAAGTGGTACACAAAATTCAGTAAATCACAGTGTCCCATTCACCAGTGTGTGCAAGGCTCCACTTTGGTTTTACTTAATGTTCTCCCTTTTTCATTCCCCATTCCCTTCCTCCTTGCTTCCCCTCCATAGCGCCCACTATAGTTATTTAATATGTATCTTTCTGATCTGCTCTGTCTTTACACAGATGTTTATATCTGAAAATAACTGTGTGTTGCATTTTTATTAGATATGACTTACACTTCTTCATTCTTTTTTCTCAATCTGCCATTTTAAGATCTACGCATGTTTTTATGTATAAGCTGTTATTCCATAATTTAATTATCGGTTCCCCCAAAGATGGATATCTAAGTCATTTCCAACTGCCACTGTAAATAACGCAGTACTGAATATCATCTTAATTGGCTCTACGGGAACCTCCGTGGGACTTACCCTAAGGCAGTGTTTTTCAAAGTGTAGTTCCTGGATCAATAAGAAGTGTGCATTCTTGGGCCCTACTGAGACCTGCTAAATCAGAAGTCCCAGAAGTGGAGCCCTATGATCTGTGTTTGAATAGATCCTCCAGGTGAGTCTGAATCACACTCAAGCTTGAGAACCACTGCTGCACACCGAGTTGCTCTGAGTTCTTCCAGAAGCGTGCAGATTCCCTCTAGGTGGATTAAGTGCTTATTATCAATCTTTGCATGTAGATTCCTATAAGAAAGGTTTCGCCAGACCGACACCCACGTTAATCAGTGATCCAGTCCATTCCAGCATCTTTTACCAGTCTAGTCTTCCTTAAACCTTTTTTCTGGGACATTATCCCTTGCTTCAGAAATCTGTTTTCTTTCACATGAGAGAAAATAACATTTTTTTTTTTTTTAATACCTGTTATATGTCAGGTTATGTGTGTTACCTCTGACGCAAGTATTCTCACTCCCGTTTTACACCCTCCGACACAGTTTGGTGGTGAAGAGTACAGATTGTGGATTCAAGTCGTATGGGTTTGGGTCCAGCCCTACCACTCAGTAGCCGTGTGTGACCTTGGGCATTTACTACATCCCCACTCTGTGCTTTATTTTCCTCCTCTATGAACGGATGGTAACAGTTTCAGTGGGTGGTTCTCAGGTTTCAATGAGATCACACCCATAAAGAACCTGATAGTAGGCCCTCTTAAGTGTTAGCTTCAGCTACTTTCATCATCCCCACAAATAGGGAAACTGAGGCTCGGATAGTATATCACTTGCCTGAGTGGAGTTAGGGATTGGTTTCAAACAAGGGAAAGCTGTTGTTTTCACCCCCCTATCTGTCCTTTAAAAACAAAGTTGTTCTTGGGACGCCTGGCTGGCTCAGTCGGTGTGACTCTTGATCTCGGGGTTGTGAGTCCGAGCCCCACATTGGGTGTGAAGGTTACTTAAAAAATAAAAAAATTAAAAAAAAAAACCCAGAGTTGTCCTTTATCACTTTTAGGGTTCTGCGTAGCATGACTTCATTCTGCTTCTCCAGCCTTTTCTACTGATTCTTTATATACATCCTCTTTCTTTCTTTCTTTGTTCTCTTCTACTTGTGTTGTACTACGTGATTATTTCTGCCTTCATTCATACAGTTCTCCTCATCACAATGTCCTCTTTTCCTTCCGACTACCCACATCCTTGCCATTCTTCAAGAACCAGCGTCTCTTCCTCCGTTGGATTTTATCCACTCACTGACCTCCCTCCTAAAACACCGAGGATAGGCCCCAGGCTCTTGGACACTTCAGCACATTCCCTTTTCTGTCATTGTTCTTATTCCCTGTTGGGGCAGGGCCCACATCTCCTGCTTCTCATGTGCTTCCTGCAGGAAGGCTCTGGTCATATGGTAGTTAGCGTGTTTCTGGTGTTTTATTGTATCACCTTCCTCTAAATAGAATTTGGATTGGTAATTAATGGTTTTATTAATTTTTATTAAGTCAGAAACATCCTGCAATGCCGTGAATGTCATAACAGCTGCCCCAGTCTTATTTCCTCCAGCTCTTGACACTCCTGGGGATAGAGAGATCATGCAGCTCGTGTCTGGGGCACGAGCTCAGTTACGAAGGAAAAATAATTTGGTAGCCAAATGCCAGTGTGACCACTTGAGCATAAAATTAGAGTTTCAGTTTCCTCTCTGGTCATGTTCAGGAGACCTGCACAGTATGAGAACAGCTTAGCTGTGTGAGAGTAAAGTGTTGCATTTTTCTCAGCTGTAAATTAAAGGAATTGGTCAAAATCTGTGTTCTCAAACAACGTGCAGAAGAATCACTTGGGGATCGTAAAATGTGTGGACTCCCAGGTCCCACCCCCAAGGGACGAGAAGGGCTGGGAGTTTGCATATCTCCCACACACCTCAGATGTGGCTGGATAGGCACTCCCAAAGAACACTGGCCTCTGTTAATCTCTGGTTCCCTTTATCCTTAAAATTCTTCCAATTTTATTTTATTTTACTTTGAGTTATTTTCTGTGTTTAAATATACTATCACCCCATGATTCTTCATCCCCATTGCCTAATCTCCATGCCACCCCACAGCTAACCACTCTTCTTAGTTTTTTATTTATCTTCTTCAAGTTTCTTTATTGAAGTAAAGCAAATACCAATTTGGCTTATTTTTCTTTTTTTTTTAAAACATGGAAGTCTGTTGTGCACCTTTGTTCTGGGCCTTGATTTTTTTTCCCCTGTTACAATATTATCTTGGAGATCTGCGTCAATTCGTGAAGAGTGTATTCATTTTTTTTTTTAAAGCTACATAGTATTTCAGTGTGTGATGTACCATAATTTGTTAATAGATCTTCTTTTGATACTCACTTCTGTCATTGCTCGTATTTTGCTTTGACCAACAACGTTGCATTGAATGACTTTGGACATGATGTCCTTTCAAGCACTACAAGTATATCTTGTAGAATAAACATATCCAGGGTGCCTGACTGGCTCAATTGGTGGAGCCTGAGACTCTTGATCTTGGGGTTGTGAGTTCAAACCCCATCTTGGGAGTAGAGATTACATGAAAAAAAAAAAAGGTAAAATAAACCTATCCTAAAATGGAAATCTGGATCAAAGAATATAGGCATTTGCAGTTTCAATAGATATTGCCAGATTGTCCTTTGTAGAGTTTTTGTACCCACTTACACTCCCAGGGCAAATCTGTTTTAAAGAAATTTGCTTCTATTTGGCTTTGTCAGATGAGTCACTACTTGTGAGCTTGGATACGTGGTTCAGCCAGTGTCCTCTCTTCCTTTACAGCCTCACAGCCCAAGGAGCGTCCTCGATCCGCAGTCCTCCTGGCGGATGAAGCCACTGCCATTCCCATGTTTGCCAACAGACGGTCCCAGCAGAGTGTCTCACTCTCCAAAAGCGTCTCCATACAGAACATTGCTGGGTAAGTGGGGATTTAAAGATTGCACAGTTGACAGCTAGGTGACAAGAGCTTAATAACCATATCATTTGACAAAGAGATTCTTCTCATTGGGAAAAAGTGTATAAAATAATGACTCGGTGCACAACCAAGTGTTGCAGACGTGGAGAATGGGAATTACATTTTGATGCACTGTCATGCCCGTCATTTTGTAGCAAGGATCCCCTTTAAACACCATCATCAACCACGTTGTCCTGTGCTTCATTCATGGTCAGCCTCGCTTTTAAGGAACCTGAGTTAAAAAAAGATGGTTTTTAGATGAAAATAAGAAGTGAAAATGGAGGGGCCGGGGGGGATGACTTCTTCCTGATTTTTGTTTGTAACCACTTATATTTTCAGATATTACACTTTTCTTTTGGTCAGATGAACCTAGTGTTTCTGCTGCTTTTTATAAATCTCTTTCCCGTGCTTGCATATTGACTCTTGAGTCAGTTTCATGGGAGTGAATAATGGGCCAGTTACGACCATTGGGTCCCCACTCACTCATTTGCACGAAGTTCCTTTTGTGGTCCCTGCAAAAGTTGCTACGGCCCCTGACTGTCAGGCCGCAGCTGTCCCATGGCTGGCACAGGGCTGATTATGATGTTCCTGGCAGTTCTGGGTAATAAGTCTTCTGCTTTCCCATCAAGTAAAGAAGTCATCTCAAATGTAGGACTCAAAACATCTCTTCCACCTCTCTTAACCCTGGGCTGGAACAAAATTCTTAACTAAAGGATGCAAATCTTCTTTTGTCTGTACATCCTAACCTCTGTGCTGGCTAGTGTTTTCTTATTAAAGAAAAGTTTCAGGTATTTTTATTTTGTTTTGTCTTTGTATTGTCATTATTCAAAGGCCTTCCTTTCAGAGTTGTTATGGTTTCAAAATTTGTTTGCATTGTGACTTTAAAAAACTAGTCTTTAAATAAAATGTAAAGCTTTTAATGACTCTGGCTTGCTTTTGTATCCTACCAGAAACATTTACTGGGGGCCTACTGTGCTGGCTGGTGGGTTGGGTTTGAGAAAGTCCAGGGAATACAGTTTATTAGAAGTGCTTGGTCTACAGATTATTTAGAGAACAAGGAGATAAAGTTTGTGGTTACACAGTGAGTTTCAAATGGAGAAATTTTTTTTTTTTTTAAGATTTTATTTATATATTTGACAGAGAGATAGAGAACACAAGTAGGCAGAGGGAGAGGGAGAAGCAGGCTCCCCGC